GTATGTATAGGGATCTCACGCAGGGTTTCATACGCGTTGCATGAATGAACTGTTTCGGGCCATCATCAGGTTGCCCCACCCGCGCGGCGTCTTGGCGGCGAACGAGCGCTGGCAGATTAGCCGCCGGCAGGCCTCGATCGATCATCGCGGGCGCGGGCCTCGCCAAACAGCGCGCCGCAGAACGCGGATGCCAAGAACGCAGAGGCGCCCGTCAACGTTAGCGAGTTCTTCCAGACGTAGCCCGTCGCGCCCGCTGACTGCAAGAGGGCGAACGCGCTGCCCTTGGCGACGTTGCCCAAGCTGCCCTGCCAGGCCGACGCCAACGACTCGGCCGCCACCCCTTCGCCCGAGAAGCCAACGGCCTCGAGCAGCACGGGGGCCACAGCTACGCCCGCCGCGATGGCAGCCGCGATCTCCATCGCGTTGAGACACTGAGGAGGAGCAACGAAGGCGGAGCTGTTGACGAGCTGCTTCACCGCCGAACTGTTCATGAGCTGCTCCGCTCCCTCGGCCGACTTGTTCGCGAGCTGCTGTGCTGCCCATGCCGAGTCATTCAAGGCCTCCACCACCGCTGAGCTGTACTTGAGCTGCTCTGCTTCCTCGGCCACTTTCTTCTTCAGCTGTTCCGCTGCCCATGCCGCATCATTCGAGGCCTCCTTTACAATTGAGCTGTTCTTGAGCTGCTCCGCTTCCCCAGCCGCCTTCTTCACGAACTGCTGCGCTGCCCCCGCCGATTCGTTCAAGGCCTGTTTTACCACTGGGCTGTTCTTGAGCTGCTCCGCTTCCTCGCACGACTTATTCACGAGTTGCTGCGCTGCCCCCGCCGATTCATTCAAGGCCTGCTTCACCACTGAGCTGCTCTTGATCTGCTCAACTGCATGACTCACGTTACTCCACATATCTCGGATCGACCAAAGCCTGGTCGCTGATGTAGCCGACGGCATTCGGGGGCGCACAATCGATGGCATTCCACCGCTCAGAAGCAGCGCCAATAATGCAGCAACCGATAATCAGCTGGCCCCTTTGCGGGGGCCACCAGGCTGCGCGGACTACGGCGGATTAGGCCTGCTGCCCCCTGCGCCAGTTCCACTCTCCCATCTCTGATGTGACGGTTCTACCTTCTGAGTCCCGTTGCAAATTGCTGAAATCCGCGCGGGGGGGAAGCCCCAAACCACCTATACCACACCCTCCGGGGGGCCTCAGACTTCCCAGGGGGGCCGTGGGACACATAAAAATACCAAGACTCGCGCCCCCGTGGCAATAAACCCTCGGAATATACACCACATTCGCGTGCCCGAGGCCGTGGACACATGCAAAGCATACCATTACGCGCCCCCGGAACCATAGTTCCTATTAAATTACGCAATGCCGCCCCCGAGGCCGTCAAACTGCGCAAACTACGCCGTGCTCGCGCCCCAGAATCCACTATCATTTGTAACTTATGCAATAGTTGCGCCCTCAGTGCCATAATTTAATACATCGAACAAGATCTGCGCCCCCGAATCTAGAAAACATTGTAAATTATGGCATGGTCGCGTCCTCGAGGCCACGATCCCATAAATGTCTATGAAAATTGCGCCCCCGATGCCATAAACCATGCACATTGCATTATATTAGAATCGCGTCCCCGAGACAAACATCAATCGTAAAGTGCGCAACAGTTGTGCGCCCGAAACCACGACTCTCGCACGTGACGCAGAAGACGATTCTCGCACATGACGCAAAAGACGTCTCAGCTTCGCTCCCATTGCCGCGCAGCTGAATCAACCGCGCCACAGCAAAGGCCCCCTCGAGACGACGGCGGGCCCCCGCTTGGGAGCTGGCAGACTTGGCCCTCCCCGTGCGCACTGAGCTCGGAGGTTTTTGGCGCCGCCCGCTGGCAATCTGGCACGCCCCGCGCAATCTGCAGCAAAGAGCCCCCCCCCCGAGCGGCGACGTCGCGCCCCAGACGCCCAGGCCCCAGGAGGTCTGGCACAGAAGCAACTTCGGGCGGGCGGTGGGCGGCGGAAGCACTGGCGCAGCTGTCCCGTCAGGGAGCACCAGCGCTCTGAACGAGGACAGGTGCGCCTTATCATGCGGAGCGATATCATCGCTCGGAATCTTCGCAAACTCAAGCTAGGCGGCGCATGTATGATACTCTGGCGGGTGGGCGGCCATGCATGACCCGAGTCTCGAACATGTTTTCGTAGGACCTGACCGTTCTAGCAGAAGTGCCACATTTTCTGCAACGGAAGTCGCAGCTAGACAAGATCCAGACCAGGTCGTGCCCAGTGACGCTAGCAGTACGAGTGGCAAGGGTTCGCCTAGGGGGCCTGGGGTCCCTCGCTTTCTCCAGCCCCGCGCGGTGGGCCACTGCCCAAGACCAACAACGCGCAAAAACCTCGACCTCAATGGAGGCTGGCTTAAACTAGTCCGCTAGGACCCGGGAAACTGCGATATCTCCGGCACCCGCTTCGGCGAAAACGTCAGCCCAGGCGCTCCCCAGGACCCGAAGGACGGGCGCCCCATCCTGCAAGAGCGCATCTTCAAGCTCCACATGCGAGGGCACCCAGGCGAGGGAGGGCGGCACGTTGCCCTGCTGCTCCACGAGCGCGAGAAGCAACTCACGCCAAACGACTGCGCGCTCTGCCATGGCCACGGCGTTGGTGGCTGCCCACTCCGCGCCTTCGACCACCCGGGCATCTAGGTCAGACGCTACGAGCTGCACCTGCATCGCGCAGCTGCCCAACCCTGAGAGCGGCACACCTCTCAGCGTTGCCGGCGGTCTGGCCCAGGTCCCAGGAAACCCTCCAAAGGCCGCGCGGAGCGGGGCCCCACCGTCAGACAACCAAACAGAGGCCCACCCAGATCTACGCAGCATGGAGTTGTTGCCAACGAGGCCCGACACGTCCGCAAGAACCGTCGCGGCCCACAGAGACCTGTCAGAATCCCAATCGCCCCAGAAATGCGACAGGAGCCCAGGAGGCGGAGGTCTCGGAGGCTCTGTGGGGACACCTAAACACGTAGCAAAATGGCCCACGTTTGCCAGCAGCTCTACCGACATGGCCCCTCGACCCTCGCCCTCCAGACTGGCTCTGAGCGGGCGACAACGAAAAAACATGCGCGCGCATATATCTATGGCTTCTCGCCACAGAAGTCACAGGTCGAAGACGGCACTAGCCCGCAGCTGGCTCGCCTGCCCTTCGCCCATATCCCTCCAACCCATAAGAATCTCAAGGCGCCAGCGCGGGCGGTCTGCTTCGCGGCTGCCGACCGACTGCCGACGCAAAACCTCTGGCCACAGGGCCAGATTCCAAGATTTCGAGACATGTCCCCGCGGTGATCGAGCAGCCGCTTGCACTGCCACCGCCGACGGCCGGCCCCGAGGCGCTCTCGGACCTCGGAGGGAGAAACGACAAGCAAAGAAAAAAACTGACCTTGGTCATCTTCCGGCAACACAGAGGACCGCATGGTCCAATTGACCCTAGCGAGTGAAACCCAGACGACCGAGAGCGGCCCCTTGGCGTGGGCCCAGTCGGCTTGGCCAGTTTCGAATTGTTGCTCCAGGGCCCTCCAGGATCGCTACAGCCATAGGACAACCACACGATACCCTGGACAACCATACGGCTACCAGAAGACAACCATACGATGACCTTGGGAAAGCCACAAGAGTGCAATGGAACAACTATACGATTGCCATGGACAAACCATGCGATGTTCATACGACAACCATGCGATTACCACCGGAAAACCATACGATTGCCATAGGATAACCAAACGTCTGCCCTAGGCATACCATACGATTACCACAGGGCAACCATAAGATTAGCATTAGACAACCATACGAGCCCCATGGATAGTCATACGAGCGCCACTAAAAATATACGACCACCACTGGAAAATCACGCGATGATCACAAAAAAACCATACGAATACCAACGGAAAGCCATACGATTACCATACGAAATCAAAACGTTCACCATTGGAAAACCATACGACTACCATAGAGGAAGAAAAACATGCGATTACAATGAAGCTGCCCTACGATTGACATGGAAAAACCATACGAGCGCCATAGAAAAAACGATACGACTGCCATGGAAAAGCGATATGACCACCATCAGAAAACCATACGACCACCATAAAAAAACCATACGAGTACCGTACGAATACCAAACGTTCCCCATGAGAAAACCGTACGCTTACCATCGGAAAACCATACGTTCATAAAAACGGCAACCGTACGATGAGCATAGGAAACCATATGCGCGCCTTACAACAAAACTGAATTATTGCTATTGAAAATTAGACGAGCACCATTACCATAAAAACCAAGCGATTACCATACGAAAACTAAACGTATTGCACAAGAAAACCGCACGATTACCACAAGAAGAAATACCAACGTTGCTTCAAAATACAAGGTCACCATCAAAACAATACGATTATCACACGAAACCCATACGATTACCATGATAATGCCATACGATTGACACAGGAAAACCGAACCACACGTGATTTTTCAGGAATCGCACAGGAAGCCTCGAAGCCTCAAGGATCCGTATGGAAGTTTCGAATCCTCCGGAATTCCGATAAAAAATTTCCTGACCCTCAAGATTCCCGAGAGAATCTCCGGATCCTCAAGAATCCCGAAAAAAATCCCAATGGAACCCTCGGATCCTCAAGAATCCCTAAGGCATCCTCGGACTTTCAGGAGTCCACAAGGCATCCTTGTGAATCCTCAAGAATCCCACAGGACGCCTAAGGAATCCCTGCGGAACTCTTGGATCATGAGATCTCAATGGAAACCCTGTGGGCCTTCAGGAATATCAACGGAAACTTCGGATCCTCAAGAACCCGTCTGGAATCCTCGGGCCCTCTGGAATCCCTCGGGAATCTCAGTGGCTCCGCAGAAATATGTTAGGACTCCTCTGAAACCCTTAAAGGAATCCCCAGGGAATCCTCGGTAGTCCGTGAAGCGTCCTCGGATTCTTAAGAATCCCCAGGGAATCTTCGGATCTTCAGGAATCCCTAAGGGATGTTGGAAATCCTCGGGCCCTCAGAAGGCCGTCAGGAAACCCGAAGGAATCCCCAGGGAACCTCAGATCCTCGGGATTCCCGAGGGGATCCTCGGATCCTTGAGAATCCCTGAGGAAACCCAAGGAATCCCAGAGCCTCTCTTGCGCAAGCAAAAATACGGTCAACTCTTTGTAGTCGTAGTAGTAGTAGTAGTAGTAGTAGTAGTAGTAGTAGTAGTAGTAGTAGTAGTAGTAGTAGTAGTAATAGTAGTAGTAGTAGTAGAAGAAGAAGTAGTAGTAGAAGTAGTAGTAGTAGTAGTAGGAGTAGTAGTAGTAGTAGGAGGAGTAGTAGTAGTAGTAGTAGTAGGAGCAGTAGTAATAGTAGTAGTAATAGTCGTAGTCGTAGTCGTAGTCGTAGTCGTAGTCGTAGTCGTAGTCGTAGTCGTAGTAGTGATCGTAGTTGTGATAGTAGTAGTAGTAGTAGTAGCAGTAGCAGTGGTGGGAGTAGTCGTACTAGTAGTAGTAGTAGTAGTAGTAGTAGTAGTAGTAGTAGTACTAGTAATAGTAGTAGTAATAGTCGTAGGAGTAGTAGTAGTCGTGGTAGTAGTCGTAGCCGTAGTAGAATTGTCGTCGTCGTCGGCGGCTGCGGCGGCGTCGGCGGCGGCGTCGGCATCGGCGTAATCGTCGTTGTAATCATAATCGTCGTCGCCATGGTAATCGTAATCGTCGCCGTAGTAGTAGTAGTAGTAGTAGTAGTAGTAGTAGTAGTAATAGTAGTAGTAGATAGTAGTAGTAAATGGTAGCAGTCGTAGTCGTACTAGTGACAGTAGCAGTAATAATAATAGAAGTAGTAGTAGAAGTAGTAATAGTAGTGGAAGCAACCGTAGTCGTAGTCGTAGCCGTAGTAGTAAAGAGTAGTAGCGGTAGTAGCAGTAGTAATTGTAAAATTAGTAGTAGTAATAATGTTAGTACGAGTAGTCATAATAGTTGTAAAAATAATAGTAGTAATTGCAGTCG